GATTTTGAACATCACTAGACATATAAACTCTAGAATAAGACTTCCTTCCAAAGGAATTGGTTTGGCTTTTAGTCCTAAACTTGGATAAAATGAAGTAATGTACAGTCAGAGCAACAAAAAGAAAGGATCCTATGGCCGCTACTTTGGATTTTAATTTGTAGCGACATCTGACGGCTGCCATTATTACACAGCTGCAGGGAACATCTGTACTGGTCTCAATTCCAACATGACATTCTTCCTATCATGAAATTTTCTGGACATAGTGAAGCTGAAAAAAAATGAACAAACTTTACATATAAATATAAAGTATATTTAAAATGAAGTGAAGAATATGAAAATCAAATAGATAATTAAATAATAATAAGGAGACCACAGGCTAAGGGGAACATCTTCACCCTCAGGTCCAACAATCATATGTTGCCTCATACCCAGTCAATAAGTGTATCATATAATATTGATAAATTAGTAGTCAAGACAGAGATAAATTGTTGAGACTCCAAATGTACCAACTAGCACACAATATGACCTGCAGCTAATGTGACAACATACTATTCTGAATCAGCATTTTTTAGCAAATTTTGTGGTTGTATAGTTCTACATCACTTGTACGATGTTAATCACTTTCATGGTGACTTATGAAGCATTTTTGTCTACACTGCAGGTTCACATTGGGAGAAAACAGAGAATGCAAATATACCAGAATATTTCCATATATTTGTTTTCTCTGTGATAACTCTTTGAAAGTTAGCTGAATTGATTTCTTGATCATTCTACTGGAATGTAAATTTCGTCGAGCGATCTAGGTCGGCTAGGAGCTAAAGAGGCCTATTGTGCATGTAAATCTTATGCCTCTGTTTTTGTGTCCGATGCTAAGGAGGCCTAATATGGATACAAATCTTGTGCAGCTATCTTCACACAAGTATTTGAAGTCAGTGGGTGGGGGCTATGGAAATTGACATGGGACACTTTGTTGTACACTGTAATTTAAATCTAATAAGTCTACAGTTTTAAAATCTAAATTTAAATCTTATTTCACAATGAAATGGAAATATAAGAAATCACTGTCTACAGTTACTATAGTATGCAAGGGACATCAATGATAGTTGGAAAAATGAGATACTGTAAACCAAAGTTTATTGGCGATGACTTTCTTTCACGATTTACTGGGAGTAAATAGTTAGCAACAATTAATTTTTGTGATCAAGCCTTTTTTTGATCCAACTTGTTAATCGACACAGAGACATTAAGGATCGGTTTGTGACAAGAAATATTCGTGATGACGACTAGGCTCTCGCAACACTCATGAAAAATTTTCACACGCGAATAAAAGTTGCTTTACAGTAATTTATGCATAATGAGCTTTGCTCTTCCAAATATCGTTGATGCCCATGGCATACTCTACTAACTATATATAGACAGTGATTCCTTAAATATTTGCCCCTATGTGACAGGAAAACTAAGTGTTATGTCATCCTCTGCCTTCAGCATCGGATGACATTTCACCCCTGGGCTTTCTGGAGGGACAAATATTATATAAATATTGCATGTAGTTGAGTGTAACATTGAAAATTTTCACCCCAAGAAAACCATTGTCAACCGAGGCACAGCCGAGGTTGACAATGGTTTTCGAGGGGTGAAAATTTTCAATGTTACACTCAACTACATGCTATATTTATTATATTATACTGAATGTTTTAAACACTTTAATGCATATAACAGTGAACCGTGTGTGCATAAATTCTGCGCAGTAGCTATTTTTTGGAATACCACCCGTCGTCAAGCAATGTTGACTGTTGCTACGCTGGAGGGCTTGGCTTCATTATTCAGCGGGTAATAGTGTTTTCTATCAAATGTTTCTCGACCAATCAGATTCAACTAATTTACATGAAAGTATAATATTATACATTTATTGACAGAGTTTTCGGGCAATATGCGTTTTGTCGGACCCTCGAACCAAACTGTCTGCCTTCGGCCTAACGGCCTCAGGCAGACAGTTTGGTTCTTGGGTCCGACAAAACGCATGTTGCCCTCGACATCTGTCAATAAATGTTTTGTTATACCTTTCATTTTATTTTATATTTTTTGACATACATGTATTTTGTACTATATTCCTTAACATTAGATCTGTCACTGTTTAAAACCAAAGAATGAAAATGAGATTAAGCTCCGCCCATTTTGTGACGTAAGCATCCAACATCTCTCCGAGAGGTCCAACATCTCACTCAGCGGTCCAACATCAATTTTTTTATGCCCGCTCAGCAAAACATTAAAAATGTTAGACTTTTTTCTGTATAGATTTGTATAGGAACAATTTTTTAAAGGTAAAACAACCTGGTATGTTACCCTCAAAGTCATGTGATATAATATATTACGTGACTTTGAGGGCAACATACCAGAATATACATACTGGTATTATGTATACATGTATTATTATAATGTCTACTTGTAAGGATGTTTGTGGTGACTTATCAAACATTTATGTCTACTTGTCAGATTGTTTATGGTGACTTATCACCTGCAATTATGTCTACATGCTGTCTACATGAACTTGCCCAAATGGGATATAATAGCCAGTGCAAAAAATGAAAATTTTTATTTTGGCTATATTAAATATCATAAATCTGCATCAGGACACATATAAAGGAATAACTTCTGGTAAGCAAATTTATCTGCAACCCTACAGTTTGTAAGATTGACCCCCCAAGAAGTTTTGGAACTTCCAAGGGATCATGCAATTCTCCTATATAAACAATGCATGGTCATACAGAAAAACTTTACTTGTCAACCAAAAGTTATTCCTTTATATGTGCCCAGCCCCTGATGCGGATTTATGATATTTGTAGCCAAAATAAAAACTGTAAATATATATCCCATAAGGCATTTAGGATATATCCCAAACGGACTAATATTATATCCCATTTGGGCGAGTGGTCCCCACCTGTATACGTTTAGTGCCCCACCCCCCGGGGGGAAAGCGGTGAAGAGGAAACACTCGCAAAACTCACTAGACATTGCTTACACTGCAGACATCTAAACAAATATCACCGTAAAATTTAGCTGTTCTGATCATCAGTGCATACCTGAATCCAGTCACCGCAGCCCACCTACACGGAGATGCATTACAGCTAAACCTTACTGAAAGTTACTTTCACTTATTTGTGCCTTTGTAAAATACTCATAAACAATGTAAACTGCTTTTGCTAGGGTGGAGTGTTGCCAAAAACTATGAAAATACACATGGTTCACATATCTCGTTTATAAACAAACAGCAAGGACAGCAAGCGTGTGCGTTGACGCATTTCAATATAAACATAGAAATGCGCCAGGTAAGGCGGAAAACGGCTGCGCAAAGAAAGCACGTTATTTATTGTCTTTTATTAAAATACAACATGTAGATGTTTTATGTAGAAATGTTAGTGTAGATAAATTACAGTGCAATGAAGCTATGCAAAGTTGAAACATTATCATGATTATATTGATTGTCACACTGTAATCACAGGCATTTGTTTCTGCAGGGACCTACATGTATACATACTAACGAGATAAGTTAGTATAAATAAGTCCCTGGTTTCTGTAATAATTTTTTACCCATAGTATAATTATAACACTCTTATACTAGGCCTATGGGTAAAAAAAAATTATTACAGAAACAAGTGTCTGTTACTGTAATGCATATATACTAGGTTTGCAAAATGTTAAAACAGAACTATACCAAATCGAATAATAGGTTTCATTTTTCATTCACATACTGAATTTCATAAAATTGTAATTTTTGTCCATAGCTTTCACTAAAAGCTAGGGGGGTATTACTCTCTTCTATTCTGTCTGTGCGTAACACTTTTTTTTGACAATATCTTAAAAAGCTTATACGTTTTCATAAGGAAATTTTATATCACAACTTCTTATGGTCTCATGGAGACCCCTGTAGATTTTAAGATCGATTTCAAACTCCATGTGGCCCAAAGAAGATTTTTGGATAATGTCAACAGATCAAGTTCAGAAATTCATAAATTGTAAATAACATTTTCCAAATGATAACTTTTGTATTCTATGAGCCTCTTTTTTTAAATAAAAATTAATATCACAACTCCCTATGGCCTACAGAAGACCAATACAGATTTCCAGGTCAAAGGTCAAGGTCATAAATATACATTAAATCCCCCTTCCCGCCGATGCTACGTGCCCTTATTTTTAAATTAGGTACCTTGATTTTATACAATTTAAGTTACAAATTAAAAATATTGTTAATCATTAAAAGTTTTTATTCATGTAATGTGAAACAATATCAATATATTAAGGTCGTTGTTATCGGCCACCAAACAACCAGCCGGAAGTGCTGGGCTCTCTGTGTTGGGTGACGGAGAGCTGGAGGTCTAGACACACTAGTTGTCTCCCCGTGGCGTTCTCATTCACCCTAACGATCACATGGTAGTCACCCTGAAATATACACAAGTCTACACCACTGATATATACACAATTAAGTCTACACCAGATCAGGTAGATTTTTAACGACTGGGAATAAAGGCACAATAGTACAATTCTCTATTATCCTTGGACTTTCAGTAAAGGCGTGGCATTTTCGACGTTACGTAATTAGCGTCTGAAATTTACACAGCCTTTCATTCACTGGGATAGAAATTCGGGCGAATGTCAACGAGTGTAGCAATGATCCAATGACAGCGTTTCGTATGGTAAAAGGGTGGGTCCTAAATCGTCTAATCGTTGTCAACGACAATTTAAAGTTCATGTTATCAATTTCTTAACCAATGAGAATCTATGTAGCCATTTGAGAAACGCTAATTACGTAGCGCCGAGAATGCCAAGAATGCCACGCCTTACTGAAAGTCCAAGGATGACTGAGAATTGTACCATAATTATTATAAAACCACGACAAGGAAGGGTACTATCATTTAATCTAAACGTTATTATAATTTTATTTATTTTAAAAGCTAATGTGCTTACTTAATTGTGGAAAATGAATAACTCTTGAAAAGCAAAATCAAGTATTGAAATAAACTTGAATTGATTTTGATAAATATATTTTTTCTGACTATTCCAACGCAAGTTACATATATAAATGTAACCATGTGAAATGTGAGATATTCATCAGAAAGTTAAATTCGTGATTTCATCAACTCGTAAAAAAAATAAGCTAGCTTTTCATACGTACCGCTGCAAACCAGGTGAGGATAGCAGGAATTCTGGGAATGCTGATTGGATAGTCGGTGATACGGATATTCCTGGGGGGCTGGGGGCACTGACTGGCATTGACCCCCACACTGGTCAGCATGGTCTGGATCTGTGTACCGATACCCCCCACTATCCCCACCCAGTTCTCCGTGATCATTTGCTGGACCATTGTACAGAGGTCATCGTATGTACTATATAAATAGAATTTCAAACTCAAACAATTCAAAGTCAATTAAACACAAACTCAGTGACTTGTTACAATAGAAGCATGTAAAAAAATATGCGCTTCACAAATACTCTCTCTCACTGTCTTTGTTTATCTGTCTCTCCCCTGTCTCTCTGATCTCTCGATCAATTCCTCTAATTGTCTTTCTGTGTGTTTGTCTCTTTCTCTGCCTCTCTCTCTCCCTGTATCTCTTCCCCCTTCTCTCTCTCTCTCTCTTCTTTCTCTCTCTCTGTTTCTATTTGCCTCTTTCCTCCCTCCCCCTCTCTCTCGCCATTTACCATGATCCGATATTGAAAAGGCAGGGCATAGGAACTTCTACCCCAAAGTAGGATTTCTTTTTGATAGAGAGGGACATTCTGGAGCTTCCTATCGCCTTAGTCAGACTGGCGTCCACGGAGAGGCGGATATCC